TTGTAGTAGCAGCAGGAGTAATAGTAGTAGTAGTAGTAGTAGTAGTAGTTGTAGTAGTAGTATAGTAGTAGTAGTCGTCGTAGTAGGAGTAGTAGTAGTAGTAGTCGTCGTAGTAGTAGTGGTAGTAGTCGTAGTAGTAGTAGTAGTAGTAGTAGTAGTAGTAGTAGTAGTAGTCGTAGTAGTAGTAGCAGCGGTAGTAGTAGCGGAAATAGTAGTACTAGTAGTAGTAGTAGTAGTAGTAGTAGTAGTAGCAGCGGAAAATGAAGTAGTAGTAGTAGTAGTAGTATTAGTAGTAGTAGTAGTAGTAGTAGTAGTAGTAGTAGCAGCGGAAAATGTGGTAGTAGTAGTAGTAGTAGTAGTAGTAGAAGGAGTAGTAGTAGTAGTAGTAGTAGTAGTAGTAGTAGCGGAAGCAGTAGTAGTAGTAGTAGTAGTAGTAGTAGTAGTAGTAGCAGTAGCAGTAGTAGTAGTAAAAGCAATAATAGCTGCAGTAGTAGTGGTAGTAGTGTTGCTGCCGAGGTTGCCATTGCTGCTACGGCTGTTACTGTTGCGAGTAAGCAGCGAACAATACAGCAGTTTACGACAAGTTGCATGCTTCGTCTGCACTACTGGCGCAACTGAAGTTGCTGCAGTACTGATGCAAGCATGACTACCACCTACCACTGTGAAGCCGAGGAGCATGCTGACGATGACTACTGACTGCTGGCCACAAAAAAAACTAAACGCTCAGATGCAAGGCGGCAGGCACGCTTTTGACTACTGGCTGCAGTACCGGTAGTGACGTAGGCGCAACCAGTCTCGGACTCGGGGTCGTGGTTCTGTCTTTAGCCATCAGTGCCTGCCACATCTCTTGCCAAAGTCGAGGGTCTTGAGAAGGCTGTGCGCGTGACGATGAAGTCTGGGATGCTCCACTGTTTGCAGCTGTGTGTGCAATGTTGGCTGCGGATGCGCATGCTCCCCAGATCTCGACAGATGCCTTTTGCAGCTGCTTCGGCTCCGATCACGTGGCCGCCCTGCTAGCAATGTCGTGAAATATCTTCCGCCCACGGGTGTCAGGTAGGCATCAGAGCAGTTCACGCTATGAATCGCACCGTAAATCACTGCTGGTGGAGAAACACGACTTTGTTGTAGAAAATCTCCTCTGCAGGGCTGCTAGATAGGTGAACACAGAGCGTTTCCCAGAACCACTCTGCCTATGTTCAGCTTTGGGGCTCCCTGACCAGCAGGGTGCCTAGCATAACTTGAAAGATACTGTAAACCACCCGAAATTAGCGTAGTAGGCTGCAGCCACACGGCATTGACACTTTGGAAATTGGCTGGAGTTGCCAGGGCAAGTTTGGGGTTGTCATGGCTCGGCTGCTTCTTAGGCTTCCCACAGCACCACCAGCACCACCACCACCACCACCACCACCAACAACAACAACAACAACAACAACAAAGCAGCAACAACAGCAGCAACCACAACAACAACAACAAAACAAAAAAAACAAACAAACAAACAAACAAACAACAAAGAAGTAGCAACAACAGCAGCAACCACCACCACCACCAACAACAACAACAAAGCAGCACAACAGCAGCAACATCAACTGCAGCACCAGCAACAGCAACAGCAGTAGCAAACACTGCAAATACCCATGACAGACACAGCTAGCACCAGCGAGGACAGAGACTATCATGACAAGTCGCGACAGGCAAGGGTGAGATTTTCCCAACTCCGGGCCTGTGCTTCCTGATAGAGCTGCTGGCAGGGAAGTCGGTAGAAGTGGCCTCAAAACAGCGGCTTTGTAAACGCATGGTGCACCCCATCGCTTCCAGTCCAGTCTAGTTTGCCTGGTGGTTGGCAGCGTTTTACATGCAGGGCCTAGAGAATGTCGGAATGTCACATATGAGAAGAAGCAACTGGATACCATCCCTATATGAAAGTCGATCACACATTTATACTTCTAAGAATAGCAGCAAGGACACCAACATCTGGCACTTCGTCACCACCGCAATCACGAAGATCGTCGTCCCGATCGCCCGTCATAAATAGTCATCAAACGCACTAACATCACACGAACAAACGTCATCTTGATTATCCTCAACTTGACAGAGAAGAGCACGATCCATCGTCACCCTTATTGTGCCGTCTGTGCCATCATCACAACCATGAGGAGAATGACTTCTGCAATGCACTCATTTCTTCCAGTCTCCAAATCGCCCTCACCCCCACTCCAGCATCAGCCCGCGTGATTTGTGGGATTTTCTGGTTTGGGGGTGTTCGCGGTGCTTGGCTTCAGGGGGAAAAACGCAATTCGCTTTGAAGCCCCAAGCCGCATAAAATCCCGAAAGATCTAGAAGATGCAGAAGCCGAGGCCCAAGAACCCAAGCAGAACTAGTTGCCGGATCCCCTCAATCCTCTGCTTCATGCTCAGGTGCAACCAGGGTGGTGCTTGATGAAGTCTCCATCTCGCCTGAGGTGCTTGGAACTTCGTTCTCCAGTGAAGCTTCAGTGTGGTCC